GTGGAGCCCCTGTGGAGGGGCTCGGGCGCCTCGCGGAGCCGCAGAGCGTGGCGTGGGCTGGCGGCTCTTGGGGGGCTGCAGAGCCCCAGCTTTTCTTCCACCTGCCGTGAGCCATGTGTGTTGGGCACACAAAGCGCAACCAGCACACTCGCCACCGACAGCCTCAGCGAGGCGGGCTTGCGTGCGCAGGTTGCTGGTGCACAGCACCGATGCAAGCGCTGCAGCGGCAGGGGAGATGGCATGAAAGCAGCAAGTGTGGCAGCACAAAAAGCAAATGCCAGCTATACCCGATGCTAAGTTTTAGAATTTAGGACCTGGAAAACAGAGCTAGGTACATTCAAATTGCAGTATCATCATTACAACAAGTTAGCATACTGCAACAACTAAAGTAACTATTTTTCAGCTATATCCTTCCTCAGAGTAGGGGCCTTTCCTCCAGGATCTCAATCTTGCTATGACAGAAAGCAGCTTTACTCCCTACAGACACATCAGGTATCTGCTTAAAAAAAAAAAAATTTAAAGAAAAATCATGTTTCAGAAGACATAAAGACAAAATTAACTCCTTAATCTGCTTTACCTCTGTCAAAAAGGCATCAAAATGCCTGTAACACTGTTTCACCCCCCCCATTTCTACTGGCTATTTAATCAGAGGAAGCTTTTCAAAAGGAAAACCGTACAACATATGTTGCTCTCTCAAGATTGTTCAAATCAAAATGGCACCAATCTTGCAAAAGCACCTGTCTAGATTTCATCCAAGTCAAAAAAATCTCAATAAAGAAGGAAATCATCATACAATGTATACAAACTTATACCTTCCAATAAATCATACAGACTAGTTCTGTGCCATTTTTTCCCATCCAAAATTAGACAGGGTTCAATGGGGAATAGGTGCTCTCTCCCCTTAATCTTTTTTAAAATACATACTACATCACACACATGTATACAAGGTTAAATACAGGGAAGGGATTATAGTTTGATGCTTCTATCCAGTACAGAACAGCACTTGAAAACATCCCTCCTGGCTCCCTAGAACCGAATCTATAAATCCACATCTTAAACCTCAAGAGATGAAAATTAGAGGTTTGACTTATGATTCCTTCAGTACTTGAGCTTATTTATTTCCTTTTAAAACTGGAATAACTGTGATCACTGACAATTACTGACATGGAGCATTTTTTATTTTTTAAACAGGACAGTAAATTGTCTGAGAACACAACACAAACTTGCTAATCCCAATTCCAACACAATCAGAGAACACCATCTAGAAGTACTTCAAAAAGGGGACAGCTTAATTGTTAAATTTCTAAGTTAGGCAATGACTTGGTCTGTGTCAGCTTTCCACAGTGTTTTACTGCATGTAGCTGTCAGACAAGCACTGTCCAAAGGAAACCACACCCAATAAAGGAAAAATAACTTAAGAAAAGCCTTTTGAAAGGGATGAATTGCATTTTATTTGAGACTTGAGGCAAAAACAGGGAGAGCTTAACTAGAATTCAAAAGGCAGTTGGGGAAAAAAGTAACGATATGCTAAATGCTCCCAGGAAAAGGGGACAAGCTGTCAGGTTGGACTGTTTTAAAAAAAAAAAACAAAAAACCACAACCAAAACAAAACCAAAAAAGGTTTCTGTATCTACTCAGCATTTTCACCAGGTTCAGAGGGCTCCTTTGCAGCGATGGGTGTTTCAGGAAACAACAAGAAGTTTGCCTACGTGTCCAGGAAACATGAGCTTTCACCAAGTGCCAGGTAAAATGATACTCTGCTGGCAAGAAACCCCTTGTGCATTATGCACATCTCAACTGCGTTGACCTAACTTAACAACATCCATGACGTTCCAGTACAAAATAGGGCTGAATAAACAATGTGCTGTGGAAAAGGCCCAAAATCTTCACCCAAAGACTATTAGGAGTATAAGCTAGCAGGAAGTTAGACAGAGGCAGAAGGAAGATCAATCATTGCAAGCAGTAGTGAGCACTAGGAAAAAAGGAGACGAAGAATCTCAGCTTACACGGATAAAAGAAAATACTCTTTTGCCTAAATCAATTATAAGCACAAGACTCCCACAAGAGCTTAAAGTAGATATAATTATCTATTTCTTAATCTGACCGTTTTTATTAAGACTTCTTTTTAATGTAAAACTTAATGCTGAAATTGTATTGCATTGTGGTAGACACAGAGTCATTTATATAGCAAAGATGGGCAACAAACTTCAGCTCTCTGATAAAGAGCAAAAGTGGGAATTAAGGTATCTGATCTGTAGCATATGAACAAAGGCACAGGGAGGAAAAGAAAATATTCTCTGGACTTCAGTTTAGAAAAAGGGAGGACAGATTACTATGACCTGTACATAGAATACCCAGACATTGTATCTGTAGCAAGTTATGCAGGGTTTCTGCATTTGTCATACTCTATCCATAAAAGCCCTCCCAAGCAGTCAGGTGCCTGGACATGAGCCGAGATGGTCATCTGTGTGAACGCCTGCCAAACAGAGGTGTGAACTCAAAATACAGCAGGGCAGTAACAGCCCTGCTCACTCAGACGTGTTCAGGAAGGCAGCAATGGGTAATGCACATGTTGCTCTCACAAGAAACGTAGAGCACTTGAAATGGCCCTTCTTTTGCTCTCTTACTTTCACTTTCCAGTCCCATGAAACTCCATTTCTCATCTCTCCTGCACTTGGAGCCAGTTTCAACAGGGGAGGGAGAGAGAGAGAGTCATGTCACGCACTCAGCCTGGCACCCTTCTGGCCTGGAAATCGTCCCAACTGAAGCATGAAACCGGTGTCCCTCTCTCAAGAATGCTCTGAACCCACTAGGGTGCAGTGGATGGGCAGTGTCATCTTTTCCCTTCTTTCTTGAAAAAGAGGGCAGCAAGCTAGTCCTCCCTTTCTGAAAAGGGCATGCTAAACTGACAGGAGTTTTTCATGCGTCCTCCTCTCTCTTTTCAGCTAGCAGAAACTGAGCCCACTAGCCACAGTGCATAAACCTGCTCGCATGCCCCACACTGAATGATGCCTAAGCCACGGCTGTGGATCCCGCTCCTGGACCTACCCACCTAAAAGTCAGATGATGCTGTCCAAACCCAGCTGGTGGGTCTGTTGCCTGCACTTCCCTGGGGAGAAAGGACAATCGAGCAAGATATTGCTGCTATTCAGAATTCAAAGTGAAGCACCACTTGTTATAACAACTGTAGTCTCTAATTAGATGCATGTACTGATCAAAATTCACATGGATCAGGAAAAACAATAATCGAATACTTCTTTTCAGACAATAAAACCTCTGGGAAACACTCATTAGTTCAAAAACCTTCTGCTCAAGTAAGAGGCTTTTCTAAAAACAAAAAAAAAAAATTAAAAAAGAAGAAAGAACAAGATCAGATCTCCCAAGACCTGATCTGCATGTTCTCACTGGCAGGCCAAGCCTCTGCTCTGCCTGACAAGAATTATTTTTAATAACATGGAGAAGTGAAGGGAGAGGGGTGCAGAGCAGCTACATCAATTACAAAAGAGAAAAACCAGCCTTCCATAGGGAAATTGATGGATGTTCTGTTTCCATAGGGTAGTGATTTCCTCCGAGTTGTTCATGCTGTACACAAGTCAAGTGGGTGGTAGGAATGTACTTCATGCCCCACTCACCCGCACCCAAGCTGCCTCAGTCAAGAGCCGCACACACACTCTCTACAGTCGTTGCTGTGCTTTATGAGCCACTCCAACGCTAACGTGAACTACAGGTCATTGGATCAAGGATGCTGCCCCTCATCCACGTCCCTGATGTGACCTTTTATGACCTGTTTATGTAGCTGTGGGCAACAAGAACAAGGTGTGTTGGTGGTGCAAGGAATGCTGAAAGCCTTTGCTGCTGCCCCGGTAGGGCAACGAGGCTTTGTAAAGTGCATGCCCATATACACAGCCCTATGACAACAGCCAATGCTGAAATCTGCTACTGTGAGGCAATACTAATTTTTGGGGGGGGGAGGAAGAGAGAAAAAAGAAAGAGAGCACCAAGCTTCTAAGAGTCAAGTAATCCACAAACGTGTCATGGTGCTGCCTGGGACTTAAGATGCAGTTCCTGCCTCACAGGGATGTACCAGGTAAGCTGTTGAGGCTCTTAAATAATTCTGTCCACACTCAGATGGTGTTTAAGTAGGGGAAGAAAAAAAAAAAAAGTGAAAAAAAAATCCCTAAATGTTCATCTTCTCCAGGCCATGTGACTCATTAATGTATGCAACAAGGACTTCAGAGCCCTGAGATACACATACCATTTCCTTGAACGCACTTTCTATGGCCCCAATAACCAGGCACTCGTGTGGGATCTTCTTCTCGGTGAAGAAGCGTGTTGGAGGGGTGCTGGGTGAGCCTGGGGCACCCACACCACCACGCAGGGAGGCTGCCCGTGTCAGCGTCCTGCTGTTTGTGGCCGCGTTGTCGGGCTCCTCTCCCAGGCAGGTGGGTGGGAGGACCGTCATGTTCCTCAGGATGTCCACGATCTCCTGCAGCTGCTCCAGGATATGGTGCTGCAGCAGTTTGGAAGCGACCACAGCTGCCCCCGACCCAGCGTGTCCATCAAACAGGGACCAGTAGTACAGGTTGATCCCATCTGTGTCCTGGGGAAGCAGAAGGGGAAGAAAGGGAAGGAAAAGAGATGATCACCATTACACAGCCATGAGTGAGGTGACCGGTGGCACAGGGGCAGCAGGTAAAACACAGGTAACTTTCCCAGAGGTAACCTTCTTTCTGAAATGGAGAAATACCCACTGTGTCAGTACAGCTCCAGCAAGAAGGAGATGCTTATTTTTGTCACACATCCCCACCATTTTTTTTTCTTTTTTCTTTTCCGTAACCCCCTCAAAAAAAAAAGGCTGAACTTGCAATCTTTCTTACCTTACAGCCATCACATGATGCACTGACCAAGCACAGCTAGCACTGTGAGACTAAGTTAATTTCCTAATGACTGTGTACATCAGAAGAAAAGCATTCAAAAATCACATCATTGGTAAACGATGAACCTACCACCATGGAGACCAAAATTCTACACAAGACAGCACCTGACACTTCCGTGACAGACCTTGTTTTTCCCACTAGGCATGAGATGAAGGACCTCAGTTTGACACCTAGTAACAAGATGTGATCCCCACTTCCACGACTGGTAGATAAGGTCCATCCGTGCTGGCAGATGGGACAGCTCAGGCTTTCCCTGCTTGTGCCAGCCCATGAAACCGCGCAGCGCAGAGGTCCTCAAGGATGGCGGACACCAGTGGGATCAGCTGCACTCCACCCGTGATAGCCTACACGCTCACTGCCTAGTTCTTCGCAGTCCTCTGAAAAGTTTCCTGTACAGTACTGGAGTTACATACCCTCTAATCAGAAGAGCTATGCAAGTGTTTTGGTATAGGTCTCGGCATAATAGTATGCTTTTAGATCATATACCTTAGCTCAACTCCTAGCATGCCAGTCAGCACAACTGCTCTCATATAGGCAGCGTATCCAGAAAAAGTAAATTTTGTAGACCTCATTATTAAAATGAAGGTATATGTGGTAATGTTATATATTTGTTCAGCAGTTATTGATCAATGATGCGATTTTCAAATATTTCTCTCTTTCTGCTCCACACAGTCTCCTCTGACAGGTGTCAGTCAGCTCCACTATTGCTCTGATTTGAGCAAAACCCATGTTTTTGTGGTGGGGTGCCCTATCACTCAGATAGGGCCCATTAACTCAGGGCTGGAGGCAGACTAAGTTCTGGGCAGCACAAGCTCCGATCTGCCTGAAAAATACCAAGGAGCCATACCCTAGATAACCTCAACTTTTTGGGGGAGAAATTCACCTAGGAATCCTCAGGGAAGCATTTAAAGCATAACAATACCTGTCTTTGCATGACAGCATATTTGGCAGGAGCACGTGGAAAGAATCTTTCCAGTCTCTCCTTTCCCCTCCATTTCTTCTTAATCCTGCACCTTCTCCCAGCTATGCTGAAACAACCGTTTGTGGGGCTGCCTTGCAAGTCAGATGTGGGTGGACTAATACAGATTTAGAAATAAATCATTTTGCAAGGGACAGAAATCAGGCAATACTGTTGCAAAACACCTCATACTAAGAAAGCATAACCTAGATCTCACTGCAGTCAAAGAGCTTAAAAATTATATCTGCATGTCATGCCGACTGTGGTCTAATTTAGGATGACAGACGTGATTTGTTTCATTCACCCGAACACTGCTCCCTTACGCAACAGTTTAGGCACCACCTGCATCCCAGCACCTCATGCCCAAAACACTGCTTATTTCAAACTTATAGACAGGGCTGTGAACTGCAGCTCCTTTTACTTTCTGCTTCCAGCTGCTCCACAAAGGTGCCAACCACTGGCTGCAGGACATGGCAGACAGGTTGGAGTAAGAGCACCATGAATTGTCATTTGCAGATCCAAAAGACATCATTCGTTATTGCCTCGAGCTACAAAATCCAAAACCTAATGCAAAATGTCTCTTCTAGCAACATGTATATAGACCATCACTACAAGTTCATGCTGTTCAAAAGGCAGAATTCATTGCTGAATGAGCATTATTACTTATAACTTTGTTGAAATGCACATTTAAAAGCCTTGATTATAAAAATTACGTAAAAGTATTTTTTTTTTTAGCTTATGGCATTGCTGCTGTAGTAAAGTTCATATTCTTAACCAGTGCATTAACAATATAGTCATCTACACAGTGGAGAGTTCCTCCAAGAGAAGGAAATCAGCAGTCTAATGTGCACTCCTCATTTCATTACTGAAATGCTGAGAAAAGGGAGTATTGTCCTACTGAATTACTTACCACAGTAAGGATCATACAGGATAGATACAACCTGTAATGGTAGAAACACCAACAAATGTACACATTTCCAAATGCGGCTCCTTAGGCAGACCCACCCACTTACCCAGTCTGGTAAATTCACAAAAAAACCTGTTGTGAAACTTCACCCCTGAAGGCATGACTGGCAGTTGTGCTAGCTTGCTCTGGGCTCAGAATCCCTCCAAGTTCACACAACAGTTGGCTGTAAAATTCTGTTTAAGCCATTTTTAACGGATAACAGGATTACTGACTAAAAAACCTGTTTGTAAAAATAGATTGCTATTCATGCAAAATGTAAAGTATTTTGCCAACAGAAACAAGTATCCCAAAGTGAAAATATTTCAGCTGAAAACTGAAATAATTTATTCAAAATAGCGACACTGTGCCTCCTGGGAGTTGTAGATCAAACTACTTCTGCTCCCATTCTTCTCTTAGGGTTTGGCTCCCTAGCCAATATCCACCTCATGATGCACCATGGATAATGCTTCCACAGCTTATGTCCTCATGTCATTCGAAAGGTGCTACTCCTTTGGAGATGTGCTGCCTTTGGGGGAAAAAGCATAAAGGCATTACACCTCTGACTGAAATGGAAATATTTTACCTTCCACCTAGAGGAAGAAGATATTTTGTCATTGCCCTCCCCCTGCCCCCAAACTATAACAGAAACTTACGATTAAGAACAAGTTTAAACCCCTTCCCCCCAATTTTCTTAAGTTTTCCAAAGAAAGCCCCCACCAAAGTCTGTATTAGAGTTTTTCAGAAAATAAAGGAGAACAGTTATTAACGTAATTCACTCTCATTATTATGAGCACAACACTGGATATGTCCAACACTGAACAAGCCTCATGTGAACTGGGTAGTCAAATAAGGTGCCATCAGAGACCGGGAAGCTTTAAAACAGACCAGAACAATGGCCCATGACAAAAAGTGAAATTGAAATGTTACCACTTATTTCCTCTAAGCCAATGGGCAGCACAAATTAGGACAGAGAAGCTCCCATGGGCCTCAGCTGTATTCTCGGGCTGTCACTGACATGAACACAGCGTGGCCACGTCAGCTACGGTGGTTCTTCTGGAGTTCCCTGATCTTGTCCTTTTTGGACTAGTAATTCTTAAACAAGAGGGTGTTGCTACCAGTTCAGCTAAGTTCAGACATCTACACTGCACACCTCCAAGACAGTTCTCTAAATTGCCCTTATACTTAGCAGGGAGTAAAAAATCCCGTACTTTCAGACTACGCTCATCTCATTCCAAAGTAGATTTATTTCTCCCTATCAACTGTGGAAGTACCCTAGATAACCGAGAGGTCTGTATTAAAAGCATATACAGTCAGGGGAGATGACTACCACAACACTGCTCTTATACACACATTCTGTGTGAGATGCTCTAGGGCCTTAACTTCAGTTGGGATCTGCAGGCATTACTGTAACCTAAATATTAGTCTCCAGAAACTTCTATGTATTCCTACAAAGCTTCATTTACTTTTGAACTAGCAAAGAGAGTATAACCGTGAATAACCTATTAGCTGTCTAAAAAAGGAAGAAGAAACAAATTCATTTCCCCCACCCTGAGAATAAAAACAGCTTCTCTGTTTGAAAGAAATGAATTCTCCAAAACCATACCAATTTGATGAGAATTAAATATATGGGGCAAATAAAGCAGCGACTCAGAGAATGAACCAGGGCCAGCAGTCAGGGCACACAGATGAGACAAAAAGCACAAAAAGGTCCTTGCTTTTCCTCCCACAGCTGAGATGACCTCCGTAGCCACCAAGCTATTACCTATTTTTGTATGCATATGCATGGCTGTTCTCTCTTTCACATTTGGGAGTTTGAACTTCTTCCCAAAAGTATTGACATTCTGCAAACTCTCAGAGAACAAGACATCTATTTCTACTAGGTCTGGCGTTATTCTGTCGAAAGCAGTCTTTCAAACATCAGTCTCCATTTGTTCTTTTAACTGGACAGAGGCCTCAAGTAGGAGTATGATTGGTCACAGTGATTTATTTTAGATTTTCTTTCAAAAGATTCAGATTTAACAACATTCTGAAGAGCTACCAGATACATGAAAAGCAAACAGATCCTTCGCTGCACTGATCTTACAATTCATTTCTAGTATGCACTAAGAGATTTAATAAGCTTCAGGCTCCTCAACTGCTGACCTAGCTTTCAGGAAGGTTCAGCCGTAGTCTCCTTTGTTTTGCAATTATAAAATATAATTAAGACATGCAAAGTTTTGGGTCAAGCAAAGGATGAGAAATCATGAACGAGTATGCATATATACACACACACACACACACACATAATAGGGGCTCAGTTATAGAAAAAAAATGGGCAGCCTTAACAATATATAGCAATCAATTGGGACAAATTTTTCAGGTAAGCTAGACAGTGGTCTTACATTGCAATCCTTTAGAAATTTTTTTAATGAAGCTAATTCCAAACAGGCAAATAAATCATGTTGCCACTAAAGATTTATTCTGAAAACCGCAACCCACCCCAACTATTATTGTTCCAAATATGAACTACACTCACAAAATGCATTAGAGCACATCTTCAGTTCTCAAAACCTGAACTGGGTGAGCAATTGCCACCTCATCCTCAGAGAAAAGCCTCCTCATGTTACTGATGATATGTTCAGCTACCTGGTAGGCAAACAGCCTTGTGTCACACAAAACAAATACTCCGTCCCATCTTTGTGACAAAGAAAACTGCAGAATTAATAATTATGTATCTTCACATTACAATGACAATTAATAATGCATCACATTAAGTCCTGCAACCTGACTGTCATTATGACAATATCCTGGCATAGGATTCCCATTTCACTCACTGATGGTCTTCAGTATTCATCAGCAAGGTACCCTGTAGCTAAAGGCATTTAAAAATAGTACCACTGGAAAAGCTATGCAATTTAAAAGTGAATGCTCCTGAATGGGTACAGAGGGCAAACATGATTAACCAAGCAGCAGTGGAGTGGGGTGGGGGAAAGGGGAGAGAATTAGAGTTGAATTTGCAGAGCCTTTTTTTTCACTGCCCTGCTCAGTTTATCACCTGCTCTTTCAAGAAGAAAAACCTATTTATGCTATTTAACAGGTTTCCTTGGATTATTGTGTGTGTTGGGGCTGAAGAAACGTTCACTTCATCTCCTCACTTCTGGCCCATCACCTCCTCCTTCCCACCCTCAAAAGCTCTCCAGAGTCCACCCGCAGAGTCAAGGCCATGACAGCAGCACCCAACCCACACGGACAACCGGTGGATCTCCAACTCCCCTATGCTGCCTTGCCAAAGCGTGGGGCTGCACTGATGGGGTCAGCATTAAATAACAATAATCACACAACCTCAGATGAAGCTGCCATTTAAGTTTCACAAACTTCCCAGAAAGCAGGGTAAAACAAAGATGGCATGTGGCCTTCTCAAAGAGTCTGTGGGAAAAAAAGAAAAATCTGAGGACAATGAAATGGACTCTGTTAAATTAAGAGACACTTTTAAGTTCCAGTTCCTATTTCCCTTGTGCTCCACACTTTAAAAAACTAAACAAGAACAAGAATAAATCTTTCTTTTCATTGGACAAATACTCAATATAACTGCTTCCCTCATGCTGCCTTCCTTCAATATTTCTACAAGGTGCTTCACCACTCAGAGATTATTCCAGATCGTGTGTTACGGTGGGATTTCCCTAGGCGGCATTTACAGAATTCAGCCTCTGGCTTTCTTACTAAATACTTCCTGGGATGATATTATACCATTCACTGGAGTGTCTCAAGTCTGTATTTCTACATCCTATTGATACAGAGTAAGTTGCACCATTTAACACCAACTCATACGCTCCTTAAAAATATTTGCTAACAATGCTATGTGAGGGCAAAACACAATATTATACTTTACAGTACAAAAATATGAAAATGTAAAAGTATGATACATTCTAGAAATGTGTACATTTTTTTTTCTTTTTAAATATATTCAACCAGCAAAGAAACGTACCAAGGAAAAAATCCTACTAATTGATAGTGTAAGACTGCCCTCTAGTAGAAAACTTTCTCCAGAAATATGCTGCCTGTTTTGGGAAAACATATTACAAATTTAAATTCACAAGCTGTGGTCTAATAACATGGTAGAATAGGTTTTACACAGCTAAATAATGAGTGCCATAGCACTCATTCAAGTATCATCTAGAAAACAGAAGTAAATCCGTAGATAAGAAGAGAACATATAAAGAATACGATAACAAGTAGCATGAAAACAGTATACTATATTATACAGATCAGCTGGCTCCTCACTTCAGACATTATGCTCATTTCTGGTCAAAATGTGTCAGAAATAGAAGAAAGAACAGAAGATTTGAAATAAAAATGTTTCTCTTGAGAAGCTTGGAAGGGAGTAGCCATTTATTCCACGATCGAGATAAAAAATACAGAATCAAAGTAGGAAATACACTAATGAAGAGATGAAGAAAAGTCAGAATATTCTACGAGATGCTTCTCATAACACAGGGCAATTGGATATTTAACAAGGCTGACAATCATTAAGTTTAAAATGGATAAAAAGAACAGCTTTCAAAAATATGCAGTCAATTTATAGACCCTACCATTATGATATCATAACAGTATGATGACCATAATGATGGATACCATCAAGGCTAGTGAAGACACCTTTCCAATAATGAAACAGTTTTATATCCCTGTGTTTTTAATGCAATCTAAACATATTAACTATGTCATGTTTGGAAAAGAGTTCCTTCTGAGGAAGATGATTAACCATGCAGTACAGTAGATACAACATAGCGTGCCTTTTGCTCTCAAGAAGCATCTGATACTACTCGAAGTTAACTGGACTTTGTGAAACATTGCTACAAAGCTTTCTATGTCCCATGAATGCCCCCAAAATATGAAAACACAGGCAAATTCAGCACAGCTACAATCACCCACATCCCAGATGCAGAGGCCCCTGGCCAGGTATCTCGCATGGTAGGCCTGGAAATTAAATCATAGAATCATAGAATCATTAAATGTGGTGTTAGATCAGAGCATACCTCTGCACAGCACCAAGATGTGCCTACCCAGGTTGGTGACTGCACAGGGTGTCAGTGTGCTGTGTGCATGACACAGCGATGCCCTTTGCGTCAAAACAAACCCATTACCTGGCCGAAGCACGTTGTTGCTTATCTTGATGTGTTTTATATACATGAACAAGTACTGTGGCCAAATGCTTGCTTCATTAAACATAATTAATGCATACAAAAATTAAATACACTCATGGAACCAAGCATCCGCATGAGCCAATAGCAGACAGTTGCACGGGCTTTCTAGAAAAGACTTTTCAAAACACAGACTATTAAAACAAATTCTGTTTTGCCTTGCATGAGTGGACACAGAACTCATTAGTCCCAGCAAGCACAGGGCACAATTCTTTATCCAGGAGTGTTCAAATACGTACTTGAAAAAAAATCATGACTGCCAGAATACAATGAGGAATATCAACACACAGGAACTGGGACAGGTGATTTAAGGAAAGATTTGAAAGAAGAAAGAACAGAGCTATTTGCAAACCTGGAAAATCTGTCAGAGTCTGAAAATGTTGCAGCAATAATGAAATATGAAACAGAACACGAGGAGCAAGAGGTGGGGAGGGACACAGTGCAAGAGGAATGCTTGTTGCTCAGGACCCCGATGACCCCTGCAGCCATCAGGTGTACCAAGCCATGGGATTCTGGGAGAGAGACTGAAGCAGACTACTAATCACAACCTGGTTTAGAACAAAAACAAAACCCCAAAAAACCAAAAAAGGGTACTTACAGTCCACTGAAAGACTAATTATCACTTAGGGAGAACTTGTGTTCTCCCAGCAGCAGAAAGACTGCATACCCACGTCGACCGACTCCAACATTCAGACAGGGCATTTAGTGTTACATGGCTAAATGTCTGAACCAAACACACACTACCAATCGTTGCTGGAGCCTGAGCTCATGCTTAAAGAGCAGATGAAGTAATTAGCCAGTCAGGAAACAAGACAGATGAAGAATAACAAATGATTGCCAGTAAACAAGTGCATGACGTACATCACTCTCCACACAAAGAGAGGAGCCATAGTCCGCAAAAATCATTGAATTCAGTGTGCTGGATGACCTTACCCTACCTGCATAAACCATCCTTGCTACATGCAATACTGCTTCAGTGAAAAGAACCTAAATGACTGTCTAACCCTTAATAAAATTGTATGACTGTATAAACAGTGATACTGCCATGCTTGCAGTGACTGTCACTGGACAAGTCAACCACAGCCATTAAACTCACAGTATTCTGCAGCAGTAAATTTCTCAGGATTATATTTTCAGAAATGAAACAAAAAGGAAAATCCAAGGAGTATTTCCCTCCCCATCTTTAAACTAAAATGTCTTACATGCAAGGAGCATTTTTCAATGCAAGAAATCAAAAATCAAGTAGTAGAGCTAAGAAAAATATAGTTGTGTTCTGTATTTAAGCAGAGATAATTAATAAGAGGTAACTGAAAGTATATGAAACATTCAGTAAACGTCTTTTAGTGTCATATTGCCACTTCCTTTTATATTTATTTTGTGCTTCTCCATTGACAAGATACAGAAGTCTCCTTACCGAATTGTCTTTCAGCTGGAGACCTTCTCCATTGGGCAGCGATGACCTCCGTTTTGTTGAAGAGTTCTTGTTTGGTGTAGAATTAGCGCCTCCAGCTTTCTTCTTGACAAAGAGGACTTCACAGCTGGCTTGATCTCATTGTGCGTTGCTCTTCCCTGCATTTATTACCCTGGGGGGGGGGCGTTGGGGGGGGGGAAAAAAAG